GAGGGGTGCTAGGGCCAGGCTGGAATGGGTCGTGGATGAGTAAAGAGCGGATGTGACAAATCGGGCCATGGCTGAGACTACTTGCCAATAGCCTTTTACCATAAAATCTCCACTGGGATTTTATTTAAAATACTCCTGGCTTTGTTTTGTTTTGCTTGTTTCTTAGACACTAAGCAGGGATGGTTTCCAAGTAGTCAATACAATTTGTCTAGGTGCTTTTTCAAACCCTTTGATATCTATAATGAAAGAGGGAAGTTATTTCTAGCATTCTGTGGATCCCATTCATCCTTGAACAGAGTAATTACACTTGGTTATATCTTTAAAGTGTTGCAAAGCCAACTGGAAAATTACAGCACTGGCTTGACGTTGTTTACAAGTCAGTCATATTGTTGCAATTTATGTGCACAGACATCAAATTGTGTTTATATAAAAACAGACGTTTCATTCCTTTGGCTCTAAGCTGAAACACTAGGACCAGTCAGAGAACACCCTCCCACCAGAAATACAGAATGTGACCTTGTAGAAGGAGGTTGCAGGCAAGCAAAGAGGTCACAACTGGGAGAGGACTGGTTCAGCTATGGTCTCGGGGCCTTCATTCAGTCAGTCAGGGAATGAATGACTGTTAATGACTGGATTAACAGCACCTGGTTTCCAAAAGCTTGGAACACAAACCATGCCTCACTATGTAATAAAAAGTAGCACTAGGAATGAACTTTGGTGAAGAAAATCGGATTGGGTCATCAGTAATTTCCATCAGTTTCTTCCAATGGTGGCTGTCAAGTCCTTACCGCATACGGCTGGTTCGGGTAAGCCACGGCCTCTATGCACTGGAGTTGTGGCTCGAAGCTTGTGAACCATGTGGTGGTCTGGCTGTCACTCCGTCACCATGACTTCCAAGTGACACACCTCCCTTGTGTGTCAGACGCTTAGGACGTGAGTTTTAAATGCTTGGTGTGGGACTGAACAGAACCACTTAGCCACCTTCTTTTCCAGCAGCATGCAAGGTAACGCAGGGGAAGTGCATTGCTGATTTTAAAAAGCCTTCATGGGCAAGATGATCGTAAGTTTCATCAGAGCCTAATCTAAGTTTTCAGGTTCGATTCCAAAGACAGTGGGCTGAGCGTACAGTCTTCAGACATCATGAGTATCCCGTCTCTGTGTAACTAGCTTCATCCCGTCAGCTTCTTGACACAGGCACGGTGGGCCTCTCTTCCTATAAACTGCGTTGCCTCCCTGGATTGCAGGTGATAGGGTTAAGCCCACTTGTAGTCAAAGAGCAAAACTGCGTGGCAGGAGGGAAGCGAAGCTGCCGTCCACGCTACTGAGAAGAGTCCCAGTGTGGCAGTAGTCCCACAGCTTGGATTCGACATCGTGCTCAAGAGCCCATATGATCGATCCCGTCTGAGCCCCACAGACTAACACCAACTCTTCTACTCTTGGTAGCAGTGTGGACCCCCAGATCTGAGAGGCTAGAGGAAGTGTAGAAAGGGGGCAGATGAGTCAGAGATGGACTTAAAGAATAAAGGTGGTGACCCCTGAAGCAGTGCTGACACACTCCTTTCTGTGGGTGCAGATCAAGCTCTTGGTAAGAGAGCCACTGGGAAAAGAGAGGTTTTTAAACAGGGTCATTCATATATACTGTTCTCACAACCTGTACTGACCTTTGTCAGGCGCAGCTGTGTCTTCCCAGCCTCCTGAGAGGGGAGAGCTTCCTCTGGGAGGGTGTGTGTGGAGCGGAGGAAATGGGTCCCCACTCCTCGGACCCACGAGGAGCTCCTTCCTTCGTGCCAGTGTCCATGTCACCACGCACCCCTTCCCAAGGGGAACATTCCCTGTGTCCTCTTAAACATACGAGGTGGAAGCTCCACACAATGCCTTCTCCCCATGAGCCACATCTGGATTTCCCCGGGGCGTTTTCCTGTCTACACTGAATGATTCTCTCACATCTGTATCAAGCATTTCCCACCCACCGTTTCACAAATCCTGACACTACCCTTCAGAAACACAGTGATATCAATTAGGTTCAGGAGGGAGAAGCGGTTGAATGTAAGATATCTGGGAAGAAGTCATTTGACTACATTTAAGTGCGCACCACTGTGTAAAGTTGTCTGTGGTGGCAGCAGCTAGGGACTTCTTTGCTGAATAGATAACCGGGTAGGTGCTATAATCATGCATCTCTGGTTCGATCTCCGATCCCACTTAAAACTGCATCTGGCATGGCTTCAGAACACATCAAATACGGCGAAAGGTCTTCACAGTGCCACAGGCTGGGGTGGCAGTAACCGAGGGGTAGCTGGGGCCCAGGGACAAGTTGACCGGAGCAGAGTCACACGTGAGAGCTTGGGAATGGGGCAAAAACAGGCTTCTAGAAGCAACATGAAGCCTCAAGCAGTAACAGCAGCTCTCCGGAGGACCGCGTGAAGGATCCTGGTTCCAAGGACCAACGGGAAGTTGAGACGAGGGCTAAGCGATGAGGGTCACGGAGATGCACTGCAAAGGCTGTTCGTGAACAGCTACGGCGCCTCCTCTAGGCCCTCTCTCTCAGCAGAGGAACGAAGGGCAGGTGGATGGGAAGGAAAACAAAATTCCTTTGCTCAAGAGTAAAGAATTTTACTCTTGGAAGTCCACAGGAAGAAAAAAAAAGGTTCACCTTTCACTTTCTCACCCCTATAGTTATCAACCTTTTGACATTACTGTACTACTGAGCATTCTGTGTGTCTAGTTGAGGTAAACACAAACCAGGAGTTTCCAGGTCAATTAGAATTTTAATACATGTTTGCTCACAGCTCTCATTTCGGAAGGTTCTTGCATCTGTCTGGAGCCTTACTAGCAGAAGATAAAGTGAACTCAATCCTGAAATTCACACACACGAAAAATGACATGTGCCAGTGCCAGCACCATGAGTCAGTGGTAACACGAAGGACAGCATGGCGAGCCGACGTCTGAGAAAGAGCAAAGCACTGCCCAGAAAGTACACACACACACACACACACACACACACACACACACACACACACACACGCGCCTTGTGGGCACTCCTGTAGACCGAAGTAGGAACTTCTCAAAATTTTGAAATTTCCTTTCATCTAAGAAGCAAGAAACACATTAGGACAAAAAGTAAGTTAGTTACAGATAAAATGCTGAGGAAACAGGACGTGGAATCTACCAATTATAAAGGCTTTCATAACATCTGTAGCATAACTTGCTATTAACCTACAATTTGGGTAGTACGTTAATGTGTACCTGAATAGTGTGAAGTCCAGCTTCTATCAACTGTCCACTTGAGCTAGTGGAGCAAGGCTCTGCAGTGTAGGGATCTGAGTCTTCTTATGTGTAGGTTGGTAGATTTGATAGGTTGTTGAGCAAAACAGGTTCTTCAAGGAGAGCCATTGGACGCCAGTGAAATTTATCAGTCAAAGGTAAAAAGGCTTTCTCTTGGGAGCTCAGAATTTAGTCTCTACTAAACCCATTGGGCAAACCTGCTATAAGGGACCTTTTTAAAGTGGCTTAAAATAAAAATAGATACCATTTTAAGGACTAAGGTGTACATGACCCAAATGATGATATTCTTAATTCACTCATATACATGTGACCACCACTTGTAGCTTTCAGTGTGGATTACAACTCACTGTAAGGAAGACCAAAATCCTTACAGCTAGACCAATAGGTAACGCCATGATCCATGGAGACAAGGTTGAAGTCAAGAATTTTGTCTTGGTTGGATTCACAACCAGGGCTCATGGAAGCAGCAGTCGGGGGATCTATAGAGGGGTTGCATTAAGGAAATCTGCACAAGACTTCTTTAAGAGTATTGAAGCAAGGATGTTTCTTTGAGGACTGAGGTATGCTTGAACCAAACCATGGTATTCTCTATTGCCTCATATGCACGTGAACGTTGGACATTGAATAAGGACGGCTGTAGAAGAATTGATGCATTTGAATTGTGCTGGAGTACCATGAACTGCTAAAAGGGCAAACAAATCTATTTTGGAAGAAGTATGGCCCGAGTGCTCCTTAGGGGCAAGGAGGGCAAGACTCTGTCTTATACACTTTGGACACGTTGGCAGGAGAGCCCAGTCCCCGGAGAAGGGCACGTCTGGTAAAGTGGAGGGCGGTGACAGAGGAAGGCCCTCTAGGAGATGGACGGACACCATGGCTGCTGTAGGCACAGGGACAGTTGGGAGGATGGCACCGGGCAGTGTTTTGTTCTGTCGTGCAGACTCAATGGCCCCTAATAACAACAACAACATATGCATATGAAAGTGCGACAATGAGCAAGAATAAGGAAAATGCTAAAAAAGAATTGGCACTTTTGAGATAAAGAGTGTTGGTGAAAAGGAGTAAGTACTCCAAAAACTAGCAGAAGACTGGACAGATCTGTCTTGGAAGCTGTCCAGCCAGAAGCAAGGATGGAAATATAGCCTTGGGGCTCATTATTGGAATGAGCTAGTCCCTCGAGAAGAACAAATGCTTGGTAAAGTATAAAATACAAACTCACTGCCATTTAGTCAACACTCCTAATGACCCTATGGGACAGAGGAAGCCTGCCCCTATGAGTTTCTGAGAGTTTACAGGAGTAAAAAGCCCTTTCTCCCACGGAGCTGGCTGTTGTTTTTTAAGTGCTGACGTCACTTGTGGGGTACAGCCCCAAACATAACCACTTTGTCACCAGGGTGCCTTTGGTAAAGTCAAGGATAGGGTCAGTGAACAGCAAAGATCCTCCTCAACAGGCTGATTGACACCCTGGCTGAAATGGGCTCAAACACGGCAACGGTTGTGCCCCTGGGGGAGGATGGGGCGAGTTCTGCTCCGTTGGACACAGAGTGTCTGAGAGTTAGGGTCAACCTGATGCTGCCAGACAGCAGCAACACCGCCAACCAAGGCCCAGACACTGCTGTGGGACAACAGCTCAAGATGCTCCTCGTGGTTGTTGAGGCAGCACCGGGTGTTAGGGCTGGAAAAGGCAGGAGCGCCCATCCAGAACAGCACTAACGAATACCTGCCAAAAAATCCTGGGTAGAGATTTCCAGCCAGGCCTCTTTCTCTGATAACTCTACACTGCTCCTTACACCCGATGCATCCCATAGGGACAAGCTAGGGCCAGAGAGAACTAACCAATAGAGGGATCCAGCACAAATGCTTCCTGAAATAGCAAATCACTTCGATTTCTAGAACCTATCAGGAAAAATTATTGAGTTGGGAAAGGACTGGTCACACCATGTTACCAGGTGGAGTTCAATCAGCAAAGCGGATCCATTAGAAACAATGGAATAAGGGAACTGTTCAGAGTATTTAACATTAAACCATGTACAAGGGGGCTTCAGAGTTGCTGGGAAAATGGAATTGGAATTTTTCCATGTTTTGAAACCTTGTACATAGCAGTGATACCAGTTGCTGTCAATTCTGACCCCTGGTGAGACGTCATGTGTGTCACAGTAACCCTGTGTTACAGAGGGCTTTCTGTGGGCTGGAATTCGATCTCCAGGTCTGTCTTCTGAGATGCCTCTGGTTGGATTCAAATGTGCAACCTTTCAGTTAGCAGCCAAACATATGAACTGCTAGTGCCATCAGGGGTTCCTAAGCAATTGCAAGAGCAGGTAAAACATTCTCAGTCCATCTGTCCCTTCTGCTGAGCCTGATGTCACGGTGCAGGGAGCTGGGAAGGAAGCAGGTATGCAGTCAGAGAGAGCAAGGACAGCTGGCCTGTGAGCAACAAACTGGAACGTGCATTCTCCTTCAGCAGAACCCACCTGGTGTCTCCTCATCTCCAAGCTTTCACCTTTGCTGTGAGGTGACTTAAGGATAAGTGAGTTCGCATCCCTGGCCTGGGATTTGGAACAGCGGATGGGCGAGATCCTTAGGGGCTGGGGGCCCAGCTGTTGTCTGAAGCAACAGTATAACAGATACATGAGAACGTAATGTAGCAGGGCCTGCGCCATCTCTGCCAAATCGTCATGCAAATCTTTATTGTGGCCAAGCCTAACCCGAAGCAAACAGGAAATTCTGAGAAGTACAGTTCAGCTGAGCCAAGTTGACACATTGCAAAACAGCCACACACCACAGATATTAACCAGAATTTCTTCCAGAAACACTGAATTTGCCTATTCCTCTTATCTATCTACTTGGGACTCAGATCTATGTCAATATCAAGGTTGTCCAAATTCTTTATAGAAAAAAAAGTTGGATGGTGAGCTGGCTGGCTAAGAAGCATCTTAACACTGTGCTAGGCAGGTCTCTCTTTCCACCATGCTCAGACCATTAGCTGCTGAAACAATGAGAAAGCTCAGCCCCTATAGGCGCAGTCAGCAGCCCAGCGCTGTCTATTTGTAAACCACTTAAAGTGCACCTTGAGTCCTGACCTATTTTTAGGGCTCAACGACCAGACCTTCCTCCTCTGAAGGCTGAGTGCTCCTGCCTACAGGGCTGGCCCCCGATGCTCCAGGAACTCCAACAAGTATGACGCTAGGCCAAGGGACACTTAAAAATGCCCCACCCTGCAATCTAGAAAGAAATACAAATATAAATCTCCCACTGGTCTCTGCTTGAAATCACTGTCTTACAACGGTCAAAGACAGTGAAGCTGGTAGGAGGAACTTGGTCTACCTCTATCAGATAACCAAATGCACTGGTGAATTATCAGTACTAAAACAGTCGTTTACAACAAACGAACAAAACCCAGCATGCGGCAGCATGAAGAGAATGCTGATGGGTTAGACTATCAGCCAGAATTAGATACTTAATTACAGAGATTTAATACATGATAGAAACTATACTTCCAATTAGAGGTGGAGGGATATATAGTCAGTAAAAAGATAGCCTCTGTTCCCACCATATTTCCTAGAACCATCACTTTCTGGCCTACAGAACATTGCTTTTGATGCACATTCTCAGCTAACCAGCTCTATAAGCCCTGGAGCACCCTAAGGCATCAAGACAGTCCTTTCACCCCTCTGGCCCATTGACAGTGAAGGTATCGCTTCACCTCCCCACCTCATTGCTTCTAACCTCCACAGCTTGCCCTGTGACCATCTGCATCTGTGCAAGCTAGGGACTCTTCCCCAGCTTCCTCCTGCAGCCCAACAGAGGGAAAAGGCCTCAGTCCCCCGTAATGTCCAACCATGATGGGGTCTGATGCACCCTTGAGGCTCTGCCCTCGCCTCTGGGTCCAGCTTGTCACAAGGCACAACCAGCATTGTTCTGGTCTTTAGAAAAGGCTGTGGGCTGCTAATTCCTCCCCTCCCTGCCATGTCTGAATTTAAAAAGAAAGTTTTCCATACGGCTTGGAATGCTCCCATTTCTTCTATCACCCAGCTTTTTGTTTTGTTTTGCTTTACCGCATAAATTTCATTCTAGGTTCAAAAACTCCCTCCAAAACAGTATCTGATTGAAATCCAAAGTAAGAGCCAGACGGTTTAGTGGAGATACGCTGCGCTCCAAGGGGTCTATTTTCATTATGAATACGCTTATGCCAAGCCCAGAACCATCAGTGCGGCAGGAACAAAGGGGCTGCTAGAGGCCTGCGTGGTATCCTGGCCTCGGAGAATTCCCTTTATCCTGGCTTTCTGTTCCAGTTCTTGACCTAGATCGTCCCTAAATTCTATTTGTGTGGAGTTCAGTCCTTTTAAAACATCTATGGTGTGAGAAAGAAGTCCGTGCACTTTCACGTTGGTTTCTATTTTCAGGAAAGAAGGGCAAGGGCTAAACAGCCAAGGGTGTCTCCCTAACACGATGGTGTCTGACATATCTGATGGGCTCAAGAAAAGCCTGTGGGGGGGCGATCGCTGGGGTCGGCTGTCACAGCCCAACTGCTGCAAGCCTCGACTAGGCTAGCAGAAACAAATGCTGGTTCGAACCTGGCTACGAGAAGTGGTGTCCTGCCGGGCCTGGTAGAGAAAAAAGCAAGCTGCACAACGTCAGTGTCAGGGAAGCCAGTGACCGTGGGAGAAGAGCCAGTGGGGGAAGCAAAGAGTATTCTTCTTCTGTCTCCCGAAGACAGCATGGAAGGGGCAAGGTCCTCTGGCACCCAACAAGCATGCCAGTCAGGAGGAGACGGGCGAGCCAGGCCAGAGGCCCTGCTGGGATTCAACTAGTAGGGTAAGCACAGTAACCACACAGAGACCCGAATTAAATGAGTTCTTTATGTTTCTAACCCTGGCCCGGAGACCCTACTCAGTACAATTTCATGAAGGCATCAAGTACAGTTCTTTCAAATCTCCCTTTCCCTCCATCTTTTCATTCAACTAGACCAGATTATTCACTCTCGATGAGAAAACAACAAGACCAAACCGGAAGCAAAATAAAAACAGTTCCCAGGGCCGAGTTCTGTAAAGACTTCCCAATAATTGCAATGTTCTGACTTCAGCTATCACTGAGCACCTGTGGTTCAGCTGACAGAGGAAACCATACCCTAGAACAATTAGAGACAAATGAGAGTTTCAGGCTGCAGACAGCTTCACGTTCACCCCAGGGCTCACCAAAGCCTCCAACTTGGGCTTCCAAGCCTGGTCAGACCACGGGACTCAGGTTCCAAATGCCCCCCGGGCCTTGGCGAAGGTGCCAGGCTCTATCCCCGGGAGCAGAGGCCTGGCAGGGAGGGAGAGGCTCTCTACAGTTTGAGCTCCCGATCGGGCTTCATGCTGAAGGGCTCTAGCCGCTCATTCTCGGGCAGCATGCTGTTGAGCCTCTCCATCAGGGGTACCGTCTGGTCGATGCCCATCTGTATGCGGCGGAGGATGGCGGACATCTCGTTGACTTTCTGGATCTGCTCCGCATACTTGGCGTACCTTTTCTGGCGCTCCTGCATGAAGCTAAAGAGGGTGTCTATGGACAGATCCATCTGTGGGTGGGAGAAGGAAATGTGTTACACGGGCCCTCCAAGAAGATGGGGTGCACAGCTGGCTGGCTCCTCTCCAGCCTGCCCCTCTCCTTACCATGTGGCTGCGGTCTGCTGGCCCCTGGGGGAAAACTGTAGCAGAAGCGGGCTGGGGAAGGGTTTCCCGGCCAGGGGAAATAATGCCAGCCGAAGTTCAAGTCATACCATTAATGGGCCAACCATTGTCAGTCACAGTGCTAGGGCTGTTTCGAGCACCCGTTCTTCCCTGTTAACAAAGGTTACCCTCTGGGCTCCCATTTTGTGGCCCCTTTCTCTGTCCAACCCCGCCCCACCCCAAGTTCCTTGGAGAAAAATAAGGAAGCTCTAGCTTGTAAGGAATCTGTCTCCGCTGCCTCATGGATCCCCCACCAGTGCCTTCCCACTTTAGTTCCTTGTCAGACCAGGGGGATGACACAGGGCGAACAAACGACCAGGCCTCTCCCATCTCCCACCGCCCTCGGCCTCGGGAGCGGCATCCACGCCCGCGGCTGCTCCCTGCGAGTTCGGCCCAAGTGGGGAGGGAGGCAGCCCCCCTTCCCCAAATAACCAGTCCTTTAAATAAATAAATATATATTTATGTATATTTAAATATATATTCGTGTACATTTAAATATATGTTTTATGTATATTTAAATATATATGTTTATGTATATTTAAATATATATAGGCTCGAGCTTGCTGTCTCCATGGGGCTTCTCCCATCCACTTCTTTGGCGAAGCCTAGAGGAGCCAGAAGCGCTGCTGGCGGCGCGAACACCCGGGGAGAGAGCGAGGCAGCAGCCGTATACACCTGCGGAGGGTTCTCAGCGACCCCGCGCCACCATGCAGCCTTTGGGAGGCAGAGCAGCACGTCAGGGTGCTCCCAAGGGCAGACCACCAGGGCAGGGAACTCCAGCCAGCACCTCCTCCAGGGAGGCTGGGGTGACTGCGGCCAGCTCAGTGCCTGTGGGCGGGGCACTCCTGCACCCCTACCAATGCTGGACAGACACCGAGACTCAATCTGACATGGTCTCCAAGGCACGCCTCATGCCCTTGGGAATCAACTCAACTCCCTGCCCCCAGAGGGCGTCAATGGCCACACTGCCATTGTTTCCACACACTTCTGGGCAACAACTCCAATCCGGCCTGCACGCACTGCGAGCGTGCTCATAACACCGTGCAGGCTCATGCCAGCAGTACCTTTCGGGAGTCACCTCCTGGACTGCGGAGGAGGCGAACCCCCACCAAGGGGGGATCTGAGGCTGGATGACCTAACAGAACCCAGTGGTCTGAAGTCCTGCGCCGTTGCAGGAGAGATGTGCACACTGATGGCACATGAGATTTTAGATGCTATGTAGCATGGCAGGAAAGTACACTGGTTCGTATGGCAGGGCAGTTACTGCATTTAAACTTTTTTACCTGTTCTTCTGAAAGCAGAGAAAGCAGAGAAGAAAGGCTCCTGTAGTACAGGTGAGACTTCAATTCTCAAGGACTACTGTAGTGGTTATTTCTGATGTCCTCACCTTGGCTCGCTTGAGGTGACGCTGGCCTGGGGCCCATGAGCCCCAGGTACACACTCCCCTGCATAACAGGCCACTAGCCAGTCGGGGGGTGCTGTCTAATGCAATTCTGAACCAGGACCTTCCCTTTCTGACAATCCAGAACATATCCTTACTCTCCTCGTGATTTCGAGCCGTGGAGAACAAGGAAATATTTCTCTCAACTGCATTTGTTTTCTACATGGAGGCGCTGTGGCATGACGTAAGGTGTTCTTACAGAGTGTTCCATTCCCTCTAAGTCGTAGCTACAGGACAGCAAGAAGCTAGTTCTAATGTATTGAAAACCTCTATCCACTCATCTATCCATCAACTGGTTAAGGGCTCTGGAGTCTGAATGCCTAGACTTAAATACCATCCTCTATCCCTTATCTATACAGTGTGAGAAGATTAACTAGAAGGATCTATGAAGGCAAGGATTGGGGAATGCGTTCCCGAAACCACAAACACACTCACTGCCAGGGAGTTGATTCCAGCGATCTACGGGCCAGGATAGCGTTGCCCTAAGGGCTTCGGAGCCCATAACTCTTGCTGGGAAGGCTTTACATGCAGCTACATGGCCAGGAAGGCACCCTTGCTTAAGCTGCTACCTTGCTTAAGCACTCAGCTGCTGACCCAGGGCTCAAACCCACCAGCAGCTCCACAGGAGAAACTACCAACAGCCTAGGAAACCCTATGGGGAATGTTTGCTGTCCTACAGGGCTGCTGGGGCCAGAATCGACTTGTGTTGAACAATGACAATAATAAGAGGTCCTGAATAAATCTTTTTGAATAAATCAATTAAAAACGTACTGAAGCCCTAGTTTTATCATCAGGCTTCAAAATATAAAAATGCAAATAATGTTATTCAGAAACGTTCAGGGGGGAAAAAAACCATTGAAATGAATCAACATGTTAGACTTCTCAATGGCCAGCAAATGATTGTTGCTTTTTCATGACTCCTGCTTCAGAACCTCTGCCATGCTTTGCCCGGGCATCCAAGACCCATTGGTGTTGTGAGCGTATGGCAGCGTCCCAGAGCAGCTTCTAGGTCCGCGCCTTCCAAATTGGCTGGTGTGCACTCTTGGCTTCTCTTCTTGGTAGCTTCCTCGTCCTGCAGCTGCTAGAAAGTGGGTGTAACCAACTTAGACTTTGAGGATAAAGGTCACGTCCTGCGGCAGGTGGAGCAGTCAGCTAGAAGCAGTCTGGAGCGTGAAGGCTTTTATGAGTGAGATGAGTACCGGCCTGGGAAAGAACACTCCATTTCATCTGTGTAAAAACCGAAACAGATAAGCCCTCTGCTGCGGAGTCGATTCGGACTCCTAGTGACACCACGGGGCAGAGAAGATGTGCTCGGAGCGTCTGCAATCTTTATGGGAGCAGACTGCCACTCTCACTCCCACAGAGTGGCCGGTGGGTTCAAACCACCAACGGTTAGGTTAGCAGTTGAGTGCTTTACTTTCATCCTGTAGCAGCCACTGCCCTTTGGGGTCTTTGTAACACCAAGTGAACTTATTCTAATAGAAATGAGTGAGGTACAGACAAAATCTCTACCCTGAAAGAACTCCTTACTTACTAAGCACAGGTCTGCAAACATGCATGTTCACTGTTAAGTAAATTGGACCTGAGGTCAGGGAAACAAAAGGAGCGGCTAGATGTTAAGCCAACAGTTGTTTCACAAAGAGCCTTTGCTGAAAAGCATCCTGTGAGGGTGAGTGATCCTTCCAACTTTCCAAAACCCAAACCACACTCCCTGCCCTCGAGTGGATGGTGACTCACAGACACACGATAGGCCAGGGCAGAGCTGCCCCTGTGGGGTTTGAGATGGGAACTCTTTATGAGAGTCAGGCCTCATCTTTCTCTTGAGGAATGGCTGGTGGTTTTGAACTTCTGACCTTGTGATTAGCAGCCCAGCACATAAACTGCTGTGCTTTTTATGAATGAGAGTGGTATCAGGCTTGGGAAATGGCAATCCATTTCATCTTGTATAAAAACCCAATATATAGCTTGTGGATAAAGACAATGGATTTAAGACTAAAAAATTAATTTCCCAAGTATCTTTGTGACCTTGAACTGGTTATGTAATCTCTTTAAGCTTTGGCTCTCCATTCCTACACTGGAGACACAGAGAGCACCTATTTAATAAGGTTGATGTGAAGATGAAAAGCACTGGACTAAATCCGCAGCTATCTGTCGATTCAGCGCATAGTGCCTCTACTGGACAATGTAAACTGCCCCTATGGATTTCCAAGACTACACCTCTAGTCTTTCTCCTGCGAAGTGGATGGTGATTTTGAACTGCTCATCTTTCAGTTAGCTGCCCAACTGATAACCCACTATAACCAGGGCTCCTGTATACCTAGCATTGCCCCCAGGAAAAAAGGAGGAGTTCCCTACGGGATAAAATGTCAATTGAGACGGAAATAGTGTCTTTCACTTGAAGACTGGAACCAAGCCAAGCTCACTGCCATCGAGTCAATGCCCACTCACCTCTACCCGCCGTGGGTTTCCAGGACCGCACCTCTTTATGGCGTGGAAAGCCTGGTCTTTCTCCCTTGGGAGCAGGTGGGTAGAGTCAAACTGTCAACTGTGTAGATTTCAGCCCAACATGTAATCAGTACACCACCAGGGCTCCCAGAAGACTGAAAGTAAGTGAGAAATGTTGCACATTATGGCACGAAATGGATCTCATGTTGAGCATCCAGACAGACACTGAAAGAGTATCCTTGTTGCCAAGATAGAAGTGAGGTGGGGGGTGGGGGAGCTTATGGTCAGGCCTCATCCCTATTACTGTACTCAGTGGTGTAGTGGCTTATGAATTGGGCTGCTACCGACATGGTCAGCTGTTTGAACCCATCAGCCATTCCAAGGGTGTAGAACGAGGCAATCTGCTCTCTGGAAGATTTTGTTTGGAAACGTTATGGAACAGTTGTCCTCTGCCCTGTAACGTCACTATGAGTTGGAATCAAGTCAATGACAGTGGGTTCCACTGTGTTGCGTTTGGGTCTTAAATATTATACAATTGCTCAGATAATGATTTACCAGTGGTTTTAATTTTTTTGCTAACCAGTTTTATGTTTGTTTTAAAATTCTGCAACTGAAAATGTTACAACAGTCACATTCGTCACTTCAAAGTTCCCCATCTAAACGTTTCACACCACATAATAACAGTCATTATGTACCTACAGGTCCTTCTGGTGTGTGTATGTGTTATCCCTATGTACAGGCATGAGAATGAAAAATGATGACCACTGTTTGGCACCCCCCTAAGTGGTAAGATAGAAATACATATGGCTGCATCAGTTTACAGTCCAAAGAGGCGGGCTGTGGCTATCTCAACACCGAGTTCTCGGCAATCACTAGGAACCCTAGAGGCTGCCCCAGCTCACCTTTGTGGGTAAGCTGGATACGCGGCATAGTTAGTTAAGATCTGAATGAGCAAAACGTTTA